CAAAGCCTTCTGTTTCGAACTCTGTATGGAAACTACTAGATTTCTCCATGACACTCGTGTGATACTGAAGCATTTGCTGCCGGAACATTGATCTGGTCCCTAGCGGTCGCTTGATGTAGGTGATGTGGCATGTCGGGATTGATTCTGCTCTAGAATGTGGTGCGTTCCGGACGTGTCCGAAGGCAATGTCGAACTGGTTTGACATTTCCTCGTAAAGCACTCTTGCGCCGTTTTAACCGTGAGTGCAGTGGTCTGTCACGACTCAGACGGAGCAGATTACACAATGGATTACACGCGGTTGGCATAATCATTCGTGATTCGTATAATCCAGGGGCCAAACATGTTGCCACCGCCACAATAACTCAGCCTCACTTCGCCCGGAACGCTACATGTACTTCCTCCGGCACTCGATACGCGCGATTTCTGGAAGGCAGGCTCGAGAAGGAGATTTCCCTGAGCGAAAGCCTCCACAACAAGGTGGCGAGCATGAGTCGGGCAATACTGAGGCTGGTTGAGGGCCACAAGGAACTGAAGGCTCAGGTGGGGGGGATGGTTCTGTCGAGATCAATATACGACCAATGATGGAGTATGGTCTCCTCGCGTCCGTTTGCAGATATAAGGGCGCGAGTGGTTCCAGGTGGAACCGCGCGGTTCCAGGAATAGGTGGTGCTAAAAAAAAACGTTGGGCAGGGTTCGTAGCAGCATTCTCCGTATACGGCAGTTAGTCGCTCGTCTTATGTAGCCCTATATTATAGCAAACACGGACACCTCATCGGATTGTGCATTTGCCCCGGCATGTTTGTAACATGGCCGTTCTTTGGAATGGCGATGATGCACGGTTGCTCAGGTGGTGAAGCATGAGGCTGAGGAAGCTCGCCTGGGAGACCAGATTGAGGAAGGTAGAAAGCGAGAAGTTCGGTTTCAGCAGAAGGTGGGGATATTCCTGCGTGTGGGTATTCCGTTCTAGGCTTCACTACTGCGTTCGTGAAAAGCCTTTTCACGGCGGCGTTCTTCTGTTGTGAGCGGTTCTCTAAGCACGAAGCGTCCTTCAATTTTGATGTTCCGGAATTTCTGGGTGAGTGTTGTTCACCAAAGGAAACAGTTTCGAATTGATTTATGCGTTGCTTCGAAACGAAGTCAGATCTCGAATTGAACGCTCGTTTATTTCGATTGACGCGCTTATGGCACTCGCTGCATTTTCTCTGTGCAAGCTCCCGAAAACAAACGTCGACATGATCTACAGTAGGAGGACGGCTTCCGATATGAACACCCATACACTCCAGCAATTGGTCCTGAATGGTGCATATTACTGGTGAGCGGGGTTCTCGCCGTCTGGGCAAACACGTACGTAAGTTTTGCTGCTGTTGCCGTCCGCACTGTGACTCAGATTGTCCGCTTGAAGTCTTCCCTAACCATGGAGACGACGCACAAACGCCTTTACGGAGCGCTGGACAAGTTCAACAGCCAGATGACCAAGCCTCCGCTCCCTTCCGCAAACGGGCGGGGCAATCTTCTGCATGACGAAGGTTTGTGGCTCTGTATGTCTACCCGTCAGATCTTTCGGCAAAGCAACGTCAAACCTCTCCTCAAACCGACGCACAGGGCAGGTTTGTTTTTCGCCTTCCATTGTAAGTGTCCGTGTAAGGCAATCCAGGCTTGGTTGTGAATCGAGAGCAGATATTTTCGGATTGAGTTCGAGTTAATCGCACACCCTTTGGCCGATACTCATTTAGTTTCGTTGCTCAACACACCAAGAGGTTAACTTCTTCCCACCCGGCAAACAACAAGCTCGACGCGGGTAGCCGACATATTTTTTTTCCTGAAGAGGCGACCAGTAGGAGCCCGGAAGAAGTGGGGTACGCGCAACAGGTGTACCCGCTTTCGGCCACACCTTGAATCTTGCTCATTTACAAGGCAGAGGAAGATTCGAGAGAACGCGCCACAAAGAGTCCGCCTGGAAGTCAGATGGGGTGTCATCGAAATTTTCCAGGTTGGCTGAAAATTAACCCGCTTCCCGCGGAACCAACGTGTCCTCACCGCTGCACGTACCATCGGCTGGAACGTTGATGGTTGATTACGATGATGGCCGGTGTCATCTTTGGGCAGCCTTGGCGATTGGGCCCTCTACCCAACGCGTCAAGGGAGACGCTTTGCGGTGCAGGCGGCAACTTCTCTCAAATCACATGGCGCTGTTCGGGCAGGTAGCTGGCCGAGACGACGGCACATCAGGTACTGGTGTTATGTGTTCAACTTTGGGGTTCCCGATGGCCACATCCTCACAGAGGCATGCACATGTCTTCTTGCGCTATCTCGTGTAGACTACGCGTTCATCAGAGTGACTGTGCTGTACTACATGTCTCTCTGGAGCGCAGTTTAACATGCGAAGTTGAAACAACCGGACCGTGACACTTCGGCGTTAGACGTTCCGTTGCGAAACACGACGTGGATTTCGGCCGGGAACACATGCATCCGACGTCACGGATCTCGTTCGGCGCTGCAAACGCAACCAGCTAGGCTCGCTTTGAACGAACTGAATCTATCGGATTGCGGCTTGGACGACTTCGACGTCCATGGCGTGATGGAGCTCGCGTGTTCGTGCCCCCGGCTAGAGGTCCTCAATCTCAGGTGGGGCACAGGCCTACCACCACCGTGTTGCACAGTAGTTCAGCGCGTTCTTTGCTGATTAAGACATTGATTGCCGGTGACCTCACGGAGGGCCATGCGGGGTGCCGAACACCGTGTGCACGAGGCCGATGTGTGCTTGGCGGGGACAAGCTATTCATACGTCTGTGGAATGCTCAACCCGAGTGTGCGTTGTGGGAAATCGCGGTCAAACAAAAATCGAGCAACCAGTATCGGGGGAGACGCGAGAATATGCTGGCTGCCATGTTAATCGACAGGCTGGTTCAACAAACAGTTGATTTTTTTTTTTGAGGCGCGATGAACTGTAGGAAACTACTTCCTGTCATTTCCTTTGTTCATTGAACTCTTTCACAACTTACCGGATTGAAGGCCTGTCGCTCATTATCCGATTAATTCTGAGGAAAGCTATAGTGTAATCAATCAAATGTTCGCGTACATCGCCTCACCTGGTGCTTTGATAGCTGATTACCGTTGAAATTTACAGCATGAACTACATCGGCGACGCCGGCGCGGCAAGCTTAGCTACCGTTCTGCGACTGGCATCATGCCGTTTGAAGAGACTCGACCTCACATGCAATCAGGTGATGGTGGTGCGACAAGATGCACCGGACGGTCCCTTTACCACTGTACCTACGATGTCGTTGACCATTCATCTCGAGCTCCAAGCACGAGCCCTTCTCCTTCTATTTTACGAAACTCCTCTTAACCTGAGGTGATGAAAGGGACCTTCTACCGCCATCACACTCACGACGCCGTCCGCATTCCGCGATGTAGCCAAGGTTTCATTAAACTATTTCCATGTTCGAGTTCAGTGACAAAAAACTAGCCATCCTTCTGAATGTTGATCAGCTTATTTCACATGTGCGTAGCATGCCGGAGAACAACGACCCCAGACTCCCTCCTCCGGCCTGACCATGTGAGCTGCCCCCACCGCGTAAAACCGTTGTCGGCAGATGAGTATGGAAGGCGTTAGGATGCTGGCGAAGGCTCTGGAGGAGAACTGCAGCCGAGGCGTGAGCCACGTGTACGTGCACAGCGAAGGACGAATAGATGCGCTCGGCAGAAAGAAGGAAGACAATTGTCAGGTGAGCAACGACAGTCTAGCCCCGACGAGAACATCGCGTATCTAGCGCGTACAAAGCTCATACATCTCATATCATATTCCAAAAACCAAGTTCACCATTGGAGTCTGTTATGGAAATGAGCCACGACTGTGTGTAACTGGAGGCCTGCGGCGACTGCGTCTTCTGCTGGTGTCGAGCACTGTGGAGCACACACACATCTTCCAGCTTGGGTATTCTCCGCGGGGAGCTACAGTCGGAGTCTGCTTTCTGCTGGAGGTCACACTGAGTCAACCCGCTTGCCTATTGGGTCCGGACTGATCACTTGGGTTTTTGGCTGCACATTTCGGTACGATACTGTGTAAAGCATTCGGGGGCATAATTTCTAGGCGTTGATTTCGGTCTGCGAATTGAGTTGTGCAGGTAGTTGCTTCTGCGTGCGGAGTCCCGTCCTTGGTGTTCTGTGTGTTCTTAACTGACTACCAAAATCGCCCGTGCGTGGTCCTTCGCGACGCGTATAGTCTGTTCAAGATATCTCCCACGTGCTGAGTTGCCAAGCTTGGTAGCGTGTGCAGGCTAAGGATATGACTGCTAGCTGGTAGCCAACTGCTGCTCCAGCTACACCCACGTGATCCGCTCACGTAAATTTACCTGCGCATTGTACTTTACGCGAGGTAGGTCTGTCCAAGATATCGTACGCGTACTGAGTGTATACCGGTGCGAGTGTAGGTTGAGGATCTGACCAGGCCTCTTTGCATCCGTGCAGCAGCCACAAGTCTGCGCTGAAAGCGCGTAGCAAGTCTAAGCAGTACATCTGACCCGTGTGCCTGCAGGACGAGGCCGAAGTTGGCAACTTCGTCGCCGCAGCACCGCAGCCTAGCCACCTGCGGTAGGTCATTGCTGTGCTCGTAGAAGCGAGGTAGTCCGAGCAGACACTACATCGCTTCCGCTGGACGTGGGTTGTACGCTACAAAGCTGCGACCTGCACCAAGCCTACCTCTGTGTAGCATAGCACCGTTTTGTTCTGGCGCGTCGAACCTTCGCAGGAAATCGAGGGAGCTTACGCGTGCTGAAAACCGTATAACGCTCGGCGTGTGACCCTGGTTTCAGTGTTGGCGGAATCATCGAGCTCTGGGCTCCACCGCATGCTGGACTCCATCGTGAAATGCGCGGGACATTCGGGTTGTCGCTAGTGGGAGATCAAGCATCGACAGGCAATCATCCTCCACGCGCCGGAGCTTCTCCCCGTCCTCAACGGAAGCGCGCGTCCTTCGGCGACCGCGGCGAACGCGGAGGATGGGCCGCGTGGGACAAGGTCAACGGTCGCCTGTTCTCCCTCCTCTTCTTCGTGACCTCCGGGTCTGCGCAGCTCACTGTCCGTACTCACGAAGGGGCGGCGGATAGTGACATGGGGGAAGGGACGACGGCCTGAAGAACTCTCAACGGGCGTTTCGATGCTCAAACCCAGGAAGCTCGGAGTGCGTGTCACAACGAGCTGTTCAACCTGCGACACCTTGCAGGCGGTGATCCCATCAACTTCTTCACAACGGGGTGGGATCTCAAGCTTCGCCTTAAGGTGCTGGGGGAGGAAGTGTCGGACCCAGTCTACCTGGACATCATGCTCTCAGGCCTGACCAAGGCCCCGGAGTTCAAGTTCATCAGGGAGATGCACTACCGCGACAATTTTACTTCAGTAGACAGTATCCAGGCGACGGCTGACCGCTTTTTTGTGGATCAGCAGTCGCGCAACGCGTCGGGCCCCATGGTCTCGGGCCGGGGGGCTGCGATGGCGGTCGCTTCCGACACCGACGGACACTTCCAGCGCAATTGCACAGCCAAAGTGGTGCTCCTACCACAACACCAAGACACACAGCGATGCTGAGTGCCAGAAGAAAAAGAGATCGTTGAAAACAAGCAAAAGGAGCTTGAAGGGTTGGCGGCTAACCTGGGGCTCCTGCAGCCAGCTGGCCATGCCAACTTTCTGAAACTCTCCAATATCGGGAGTGCTCACCTGGCGCAATCGTCTCCGGCGGTGGCGCAACATGCTCCGTCAGAGCCGACTTCGTTCGGGTTCTCCTTCAACGCTCTCGGAACTTCCTTGGCAGAGGCAACCTCGTCGTCTGCCTCTTGCCAGCCATCTCCGGCGGCGTCTGCCGCCACACAGGCGGCACCTGCATCGGCCTCATCAACGTCGAGTGTGCAGGACCACCAGCTGCCTTCAGGGTTCTTCGGTGCGTTGATGGCGACTCATGCAGAGTTGTCGCTTGCTCCTTTTCGCTCCGACGGATCGTCCGTCCGGATCGTTGTGGACAGTGGAGCGACAGACAACTACCTCGGCCCTGGGCTTACACCAGGATTGCGGGCTCACATGCGCGACGTCGAACACTTTCGGGTCCCACACACGATCGTCGCCGCGGGCCGGCATGTCCTCAAAGGCGTTGCGACGGGGACTATCTTCGGCGCCGTCACGGACGACAATGGGAACGACCAGCTCGTCTCATTTCGCGTCATCTTGGTACCAGGGCTTGGCACCAACCTCTTCTCCGTGACATTGGCGATGCTAAACGGGGTGGCGACGTTGTTTCATCCGGACAATCCCAGGTTGGAGTCGGGGGACGTGGTGTTCCCCATGCAAACCCTCGGGGTGGACACCACGACCGGAAAATGCATCTACTCCATCGAGGTGAAGCTAAGGGGTGAACCTAGGGGCCGGACGGTCCTCGAAGACGCCCCTGATGCCCTCGCCTGGAAGGTGGAGTCCGCTGGTGGAGTCCGCTGATCTCTGGCACCGGTGCATGGGGCACATCAACGGCAAGAGCTTGGACGCTCTAAGGAAAGAACCGGTCAATGGCGTCGACTACACCGGAGACGTGAAGGACTGTTGTGCCTGCCCGCTCGGAAAGAGTGCACAACAACCTTACCCAAAGCAGGCCACCTACGGTGTCCTGCGCCCGTTCCAGCACGTTTCCGTCGACACCCTTGGCCCCTCTCAAACCTACAGCGTTGGGCGGATTCAAGTACGTCACCAAGTTCGTGGACCAGCAGACCAAGTGGGCGGAAATAGTTCTCATGAAGGACAAGACCTGTTCTGTAGACTCCCTCGCGTTGTTCAACAAAGGGACCGTGGTTCCTACCGGCGAACGCATTCATTGCCTCCGCGGGGATCCGGGCACAGAATTCACGAGTGCGGAATTCCGTCGGTACTGTCAAGACATCGGCATCAAGCTGGAGTTCGCCTCTCCGAACACCCCTCAGCAAATCGGAGCCAACGAGCGTGCGGGTCGGACGATTTTGAATGTCGTGCGCTGTCTGCTCGCTGATTCAATTCTACCGAACTTCCGGCGGTCTACCTGAGCAACCGGGTTCCTCATGCAGCCCTGCAAAACGGGACGCTGTACAAGGCGCTCTACGGGAAGGATGCCTACCTTGGTCACAATCGGGTGATAGGGTCAAGGGCATTCGTGCACGAAGAGACCCACACCAGGAAGCTGGAGCACCTTGCTTGGGAAGGACGCCTTGTCGGATACAGCACGGACAGCAAGTCGTACCGGATCTACAACTCTGAGACGCGACGTGCACGGGTGAGTCGAAATTTTGTCTTCATTGAGACACCTCCCGTTGCGCCTGCGTTGGATGAGGGTGGCTTCGACGACGGGGAGTTCACGTACGACAACCACGACGACATGGTAAGAGATGTGCGAAACTACACTTTCAACCAATCAGTTGATTCGCTCTCTCCTGATCATGACGTCGGGGACATACCTGTGATTGAGCTTCTCCAACCGTGACCTTGGGGTTAGTCCTGCAGGAACTTCTCCCACTGACGACGCGCCTAGGACTTCTGGTGGTACACCTACGGGAGGTAGCCCTGCCTCGCCTGGGGAAGAAAAAACCCCTGAAACGGATGACGGTGCGTCTCATCCTGGTTCGTCACCTGGTCCAACGCCGCTAGGTTTATCGCNAAGCTGGAGCACCTTGCTTGGGAAGGACGCCTTGTCGGATACAGCACGGACAGCAAGTCGTACCGGATCTACAACTCTGAGACGCGACGTGCACGGGTGAGTCGAAATTTTGTCTTCATTGAGACACCTCCCGTTGCGCCTGCGTTGGATGAGGGTGGCTTCGACGACGGGGAGTTCACGTACGACAACCACGACGACATGGTAAGAGATGTGCGAAACTACACTTTCAACCAATCAGTTGATTCGCTCTCTCCTGATCATGACGTCGGGGACATACCTGTGATTGAGCTTCTCCAACCGTGACCTTGGGGTTAGTCCTGCAGGAACTTCTCCCACTGACGACGCGCCTAGGACTTCTGGTGGTACACCTACGGGAGGTAGCCCTGCCTCGCCTGGGGAAGAAAAAACCCCTGAAACGGATGACGGTGCGTCTCATCCTGGTTCGTCACCTGGTCCAACGCCGCTAGGTTTATCGCCTTCTGGTCCTGCTCCGTCTTGTGCTGTACCGCGGGGTGGATCTGCGCGTGGACGCGGTTTGTCTCGTGGTTGCCGAGGTGCTCGTGGTGGATCTTCGCGAGGAGGATCTGCGCGGGGAGGCATCACGCCGCGTGGAGGTCGCGGCTCGGCAAGTGGAAGTGTTTTTCGTGGTGGACGATGGTCCACGTCAGCACCTTCTGTCACCAGGTCGAGTTCGCGCATGCTCAACGCAAAGGCCATCCGCGAGCTCCGTCGTATCTCCTACGCATTTACCGCGAAAGGGGAGTTCCCTGACGTCGCTCATAGGGACGGCTCCTTTGGTTTCACGGAATACGCGTACGCTATGGAGGCATCCCAACCGGATGTTCCACGAACGATCCAAGAGGCAAGGGCCATGCGGGACGGAGCGCAGTGAAACACAGCTGCAGAGCGCGAGATCGCGAGTCTCAAGAAACATTTACAAGGCCGTCCCGCGCACGGCAGTTCCCCCAGGGAGGAAGCGGGAAAAGTCCAAATGGGTGTTCAAGCGTAAGGCAGGCGGCTCCTTCAAGAGGCGTCTGGTGGCGCAAGGCTGGAACCAAGTGCCTGGACTAGACTGCGGCAGCACCTACGCTCCGGTGTGCAGGTCACAAAGCATTCGGATGTTGGCGTGCATAGCCGTGCAATTCAACCTGGAGTTTGTTTCAAATGGACCTGTCCACAGCCTTTCTCTGCGCTGACATCCTGGAGAACGTGTTAGTCGAACAGCCACCTGGCTTCGAGGTCAACGGCAAGGATGGAGGTGATCTAGTGATGCAGCTACAGAAGAGTCTCTACGGGCTGGCCCAAAGCCCCAGCAACTGGTTCCACACCATCGACCCTTTCCTTGTTGAGATAGGTTTCGTTCCGCTCCAGTCTGACACTTGTGTCTACCTGTACGACCATGACGATGTTCAAGTCTTCTTGACGCTCTACGTGGACGATCTTCTTCTTGCCGGAAACAACGCTAACGTCATGTTGATGATCAAGAACAAACTAAAACAAAGGTCCAAGATGACAGACATGGGCGAGGTGAAACTTGTCTTGGGCATGGAAATTAAGAGAGACCGCAACCAAGGTACACTGACGACTTCCCAGGAAGCGTACAGCAAGTCCATCTTAGAGAGGTTTGGGATGTCGGAACGCAAACCGACCAGCACGCCTGGCTACGGTTCGGAGCTCTCCAACAAGCAACCAGAGGACACTCTGCTAGGCGAGGAGGAAACGCGACGTTATCAGGGCATCATGGGATGCCTGATGTACATCGCTCAAGTGCTCCGCTACGACATCATGTACGCTACGGGCCAACTGGCCCGCCCAATGACGAAACCCAGCAAGATCCACATGGTGGCAGCTAAACACACTCTTCGCTATGTGGCCGGAACCACGGACTTAAGAACCCGAACAACGGAAAGTCCACCTCTTGCTACTTGACGATGCTGGGCAATGCACCAGTGAGTTTAAGTCGGGGATACAACTGCCATGTCTACCGTGGAGGCAGAGCTGATTGCATCGGTACTAGCCATGAAGGAAGCAGTGTTCTGTTCAAACATGGTATCTGAGCTAGGGTTCGGTAAGGAGTTTGCGCAAGTACCGCTGTACTGCGACAACACGGCGACGCTGCACGCGCTTGGAAACCGCTCCTTCAGCTCGAGCACAAAACGTATCGCACTTCGCTTCTTGTACATCCGAGAGCTAGTATCGGAAGGACGGATGTCGATCCATTACATCCCGACGGACAGCAACATTGCCGACATCGGGACAAAGCATCTTAACAAGCATCGGCTCAAACACCTGCTGGACAATATTAGCAGTTTCAACGTCAATAACTTCATCAGCGACAAGTTCAAGTAATCGCGTTTTTTGTTTGTGAGTTTGTTACCAAGTATTTTTGCATCTGTGCTGTTTGTGTGAATCAACGTATTCTTTCGGCAGGCAACATTCGGCCTCGCACCATCGCTGGTTGAGCGAGCCACGTAGGATTGAAAGTTGTGGTGCTTTGGTTGATCCAAGAAACAATAGCAAGTACTCTTTGCAAGCGCATGAAGGTATTGTAGCACTTGGCACGTGAGTGGTTGAAACGCATGAAACGAACGAGTTACGTTACGCAGGAAACGAGTACTTGCTTGATTTGATTTTCATCACTGTAGTTTGGTACATTTCAGAGCAACTTTCATTGAAGGGGAGTGTTATGGAAATGTTAATGTTAGCACATAGCCAGTATTTGTCACTGTTCAGTAGCACTGCTCTTGTATTTCGTAGATCTCATATGTGTCGGTTCGCATGTCGGTTCGAATGTAACGTACGTAGACTAGTATGTGTATGCGGAGGAATTACTCTCGCAGGATTCTCTGCGTGGTGCTTGGTAGCCGAGTAGCTCACTCTCTCGTGTAATCCTTCCAGATTGTATTGGCCAACTAAGCGCCAGTGTTCCAATATCTCAACATCTTAACATGTTAACATGTACAGCATATCCACTAGACTATGCTGCAAGCAGCTGACTTGTAGCATAGTGGATATGCTGTACATCTTGACAAAAGTACAACCGGGGTCCTTCCTGTTAGAGCTGTTGGACCTCGGTACACCTCAGGGTTGTAATCCCTGTAGTCAGCGCTGACCCATGCGATTCATCGACTTGCAGGCGGGAATATGTGTCTTCACTTGGACGACTGGAATGTATACCGTCTCTCAGGCTTGGATATGCTGTACATCTTGACAAATTCGCCGGGCTAGTAGCAAGGACGAGGAGGTCGAAGCTGCCTGTGCCACTTTTGATTATCGTACAAGGTCCTCAATCTGGTTCTCATGACATCACGCACGACGGACCACCCGTTGACCACTGATCACTTCTCGACGGCCACAAATTAAACTTCTATTCCCTCATTGGACTCCTTGAGTTCGTGAACCCACCCTCTTCAAGAGTCACTTCGTATGATGGTTTGTTCATGCCAAACATGTTTTCTTGGAGATGCTTTCAAATCTATGTCATCTATTTAGACAAAGCGAGAAAATGCTACCACCACACTGGACGCAATCGAGCCCATCAGTAGACACTAAAACAACAAGAGTGAGGTTTGTATCACAAGCAGAGGGGAAAAAACGATGCATTGATGCATAGTGTCAGGGGAAATCGTTGGCACTGCCCCCGACAGAGTCGGCCACAGCCTAAGGGGGTTTTCATGTTTTCATTGCCCGACGGCCCTCAGTGTCTGCCCTGGAAAAAGCAAACCCCCGCTCCCTGATATTACATAGCGCAACTGACACCAAGGCCTTCCCTCAATAGCGAAGGGTTGCAGAGACGTCGTTGTAGCCCTGACGTTGCTTCATTGAAAAATTATTTTACCCGCCCCTGCCTGCCCTCCCCCCCCCCCCCCC